CCACGGTCTGTAGTGACGGTTGAGGAGCGGCCAAAGTTTCCTTCAAATCGTTTGACGGTGTGGGCCACTGCTTCAGTGGTAATGTCTTCGATGAGTAATGCTTCACATCATCGGGTGAAATGGTCTACACAAGTTAAGAGATAATAACACCCGCCTGAATCTGGTAAAAGCCGTACCGAATTCAGATGAACAAGGTCGAGATGAGTAACAGGAGTTCTGAATGAGCCTATAGAGCATTTATTTTGTCTAATCACACTAGATTTCTGGCAGCCTACAAATATGTTTTATCGACTAAACGCTACTTGTTATATCTGGCTGTTGCTGATTGTTGTGTCAGAAACACTTATCATTCATATTCGAAACGAAGGACCTCCGTAATTTCCACGAGGCGAAAGTAAGAGCACAAAGGCCGGTATAAGTGAAGATCTATTCATCCCCAAAACACAATGACGACGACGACCCTAGTCGAAAGTACACTCATTTATACATTGATTTGTACGCCTATTTTGATTATTATTTAGAATAAAATAACATATATGAAAAATACTCACAGTTATAACAAATCACATGCTCAGTATAGTTCATGTTAACTTAATACAATGGTATCGTATCCTATACAGAACAAAATATCATACGGGAAAACAGAGACAAATATTAAACTGAGTAATCATCTGATTAATTAAAGATAAAGCAATGTTGAACAAATATCATGATGAGTAAATCGATCTAATTTTTGACTTATCTACCCATCATATCATCTACACAGGAGAGTAGCCAGTGCCTAACGCCTCTGTTCATACCAGGCCAGCAAAGTCTTTCTGCTATGAGCTTGACGTTTGCACGAACACCTGAATGAGAAAGTTTTCGTAACATATTGAAGACTTTTCGTCAATAGTGTCTCGGTATGATTGGACGATCCCTGATACGTAGATCCAGGGTTATCTAAGAAAACTTGCACTGATGAACAATGTCAATTTTGAAGCTGGGAAAGTTTAAAAATATCCATCCGTTCAAATCTGTTCGAGGAATTTAAACGATACAAAGCGACTACAATAACATTTTTTCGTTCTAGAAATATATCGTATAAACGAAGTAGGCTGAGAACTGTGGTCCAGTTACCGAGACTCTCGAGGGGAGATGAGCTTAAAGCGAAGGTATAAGGATTGTGTTCGGTGAAAAGAGTAAACTGTCGGCTTTCGGCCGAGTGTTGAAAGTGCTGTACAGCACAATATGTGGCTAGCAGTTTCCTACCACAAGTGCTATACCTCGATTCGGTGTCTATCAACAGTCTCGAAAAGAATGATAAAGGTTATCAGATGTAGTTAACCCACTGTTGTAAGACGCTTCCTATTGTCGAGTCGAATCCGTCTACTGCGATGCTAATGGGTGATTTTGTGTTCTGGTGCGAGAGCAGTGTTTCTTCGGCTACACATTCTTTAACTGCGAAAAATACTTTTATTGCTATGTCGCCGAAATTGACCACTTTCTCATTCCTTACATGTTATTCGGCTAAAGGTCTCATAAGAGATGCACGTTTCTGTATGAACCGTCGATAGAAACTTACTAGTTCGTTGAAGGTGCATAGTTGTTTTTGGTGATGCTGAATGGTCATCGAAGAGACATTATCTAACACGGCGACCCCCTGCACCAGACCAACGATGAACTCAGATAGATCATGTTGCCATCTGTCATCGTTGGAGAGGCTCGATAGAAACTTTTCGCTCATTCTGGAACACCTGCGTGGACTCCGATATTGCTCATATACGAACATGCATCTGCTTGCGCCCCACTGGACGCAAAAAAGCCACAATGCGAAGACCTACTAGAACTGAAGTGAGTGACGACGAAGCCAAAAGTAGACTCCAGGAACAACTGATGACACAGTTAGATAGTTCTGAAGACGAGGTTGAACCAGATGTTGCCCAGAAGGATATAAAAACAGCTGTAGAAACAGCAATGACACATTTAAGTGATTTAAAACAAAGGGTTGCAAAAACCAATGGATTTTTTCTACGTCTATTGCACTGATTGGTTATCGTGTGTTCATCCCATCGGGTTCTGAACACGATGACGAGCGAAAACAAATCAGATCTAGGTTAAGCAAAAGTCTGTGAGCAGTGGTGCCAACGAAAGCAAAGGAGATGGACAAGGCGGCGGCTGTAGGTAACACAAGACAGCTATACAGACTAATAAAAGGAACTGGAACTAATAAGTCAAGTGTAAGAGAGAATATCTCGGAAAAAGACGACATTTATCTGCTCACAGTCCAGACGTTTAGAATGATGGACGGAACATTTTAAAAAGCAGTTCAGCTGTCATTGAGCTTTTCTCCAACTGCCCACCATTCCCAGACAGCGTGAATGAAACTAGGTGTGACGTACATACTGAAATCGTGTGGTAGTACCTTCACGACAGTGAAGAACTGTGAACTCGGATCTGTCACGCGGCGCCGGTGAGGTCAGATTCTGCGTAGCAGGTCCAGGGTTTGACTTAGACGGGTCAGAATGGCATTAGTTAAAATGAGGGTGGCGTAAGTCTTCATCTTAAGCAAATTTAGTCTGTTCATTCAGGATAAATGCGGCCTGCTTGAATATCTTGTCTACCTGTTCCTGGCATCTGGATATTTCAACGAGTTATCTACTTTTGTTTGTTTTAATACATCATCATGGCTGTTGGTCGCGTGACCTACTCAGGTGCGTATGTGATGCGTTTAAAACATTTAGCTGTACAGGTTAAAAAAAGAGCCAAATCAGAGAAATCGTGGTTGCTGGGAACATACACCGAAAAAAATATACATTATTCAGACGTCTATTCCAGAAATGCTAACATCTGACTGGCGAGCACACAATATCTATTTCGGGGGTCGATCAAGAAATAAGAAAGAGAAAATCGTTGAAATACTTTGTGCTGAAAATTATATATCGTGCCGAAAATATAATATTGAATAAAGGTAACAATAACAATAAAAGAAAATAAAGTATGACAATGAACGAGAAAAAGATACTCAAAAATACCAAAAAATATCACAATATGTGAAAATCGAAGTACAAACTATTATATAAAGTTCCAAAAAGTAACAGACTTGTAGTGGCATTGGGCCGTAACCACACAAGGAGCGGACATGGAATTCAATTGATTCGAATACGTCGGATGGTATGGCTCATCCTTACAGGCGTGGCGACTCTTGAGCGTTGTTACATACCTTTTTTCATATTGAATACATTGTCCTATCTCTAGCTTAAGTATGTTCTTCATCATGTATTGATGACTGTTACGATGCGATGAGTTGATGTAGATAATAAGGTGACTTCTACGTAAGATCTAGATAGATTATGCAGTTACAACATGACAAATCTACAATTTTTGGATAAAGTCAATTATTAGAGCAGTACTAATAACGAAGTAAACCATAATTCTACAGAATCACTGTTTGCAAATTGGAGTATTATATCCGTTAGGGATCACCACTAAAGATGACACAAGTATTCAGAATTTGACAACGCCCTAGCCAGTAACACCTTTTGTATTCGAAACGTGCCAACCCAGCGAAATCAGAAACCAGAAACGAAGAGGTTCAAAGATATGCTTGATAGGCTATAGATATATTGAGAAATGATCAATCTAAGCTGGATAACAGTTGTAAGAGATGCATAGTATGGCTCACTCCATTGTGATCCGGTGCGGATGTCTGACCAAGCGCCTTCATTTGGGTGATTCTGTAGAATTATGGTCTACTATGATATTAGTACTGCTCTAATAATAGACCTAATCCTAAATTTGTAGATTTGTCATGATGTAACTGCCTAATCTATAAGATCTTACGTGGAAGCCACACCATCGACTACACCAACTCACTGTGTCGTATCAATTACCAATACATGATGTAGAACAAGGTTAGGCTAGAGAAGGAACAATATATTTAATATGAATAGAAGATATAAAGTAACATTGAGATGGACCACGCCTGTATGGTCGAGCCATGCCACTCGATCAACTCCAGTCAATTCAATTTATTATTCTCGCCTTCTCCATCGTTGGGTATTTCTCCGCGTTAAATATTGAATATCTATTTTCTGAGTAGTCTTGTGTTCAGCTTTGAAGATTGTGTGGTTATGGTCCAATGCAACTACAATTCCACTGAAACCAGTGCGGTCTGCATCAAATGTCGAAGACTTACGGAGCTATTTATTTCAAAGATCTGTTTACCGCCACAACCTCTAGAAAGTCACTACGGCGAGATCAAATAATGCTGTATGCTTAGAAATACTAGATTCTCATGGTTTCATAGATGATGTCATGTGTGAAACACACATAACAGATTTCTTAGTTCTGACAGTACTTTCATTAATAAGTATTGTACATTTTTATAGACTGTTGCGGTATTTCAGTAGTTGCTCGACCATTTGGACAAGTTGATCCGCTCTGATGAATGAAAGTGTTTGAGAGACACCATATCTCCTTCCAGGTCAGTATATGAAAGTTATGTAATATTTTGTATGACGTTTATTTATGTGATGAAACTCGATCGAATATAGAAGCGCATGAGGATACATAATTTCTCGGACGATTTATTCGAAACACTTTCAGATTATCAGTATCACATCACAAATATAGATCTGTTTTTACCTAGTCTCCAGAGAGTAATCAATAAATTTTTTATGAAGTACTATCATCTAGTCTGTAATGTTCATTGTTTTTATAAACTTTGTCTGTAAGATCTTCAGACAAAATAGCACGAGCTTGTTCCCAGACATAAATTTAAATCAATATAAGTGACTGAGTGAGTAACATATGGAGGATTGGAGCGTCTAACACAAGCGATAGAGTATCAAGAAATCAAGTGAATTTATGATCCGTATATACCTGCTAGTCGATTACGTTCGAACCAAAACTAATGGGATCATGGTAACTAACAGAAGATCAAAATATATCACTGTCTTACAGATAAACGGCCAGTAACCAAGAAACAACTCAAGGACATTACATTAACGCGAGGGTTATTTTACTACAGTGATTTATTGAACTTCTTCATTAGAATATTGAGCGCGTCGGTCGAAGAGTTCTTTCAGTTACTAATTATATAGGTTCCGTCCACTATAAAAATGTCTGGATCTCGCAAATTTTTTGTTGGAGGGAACTGGAAAATGAACGGAAGCAGAGAAGATAACGAAAAGTTACTTAAGTTGCTCTCAGAAGCTCATTTTGGTGACAACACAGGTTTGTTACGACGTCACGTCCGAAAAATACTTCAATTTAAGAGGTTTTAATTGCTCCACCATCCGTATTTTTGCACGACGTTCGAAAACTATTGAAGAAGGAAATACATGTTGCTGCTCAAAATTGTTATAAAGTATCAAAAGGTGCATTTACAGGAGAAATCAGGTAACTGTTCCTATTCAACCCCCTATAGTTGCTAAATGATCCGATAAAAGATTTCTATTCAATTTTATGGGGTTGAAACCATAAAACCGTCTTGATTTGTTGCCAGTGCCAAAAAATAAGAACAACATGTGTCTTTGCCAAAGGTCATGGTTTCACAGCAGGAATAAACCTTTTACTACATACTGGATGGTTATGTGTATTGAAGCTACAAGTAAATAAACAACGGCGAATAAAGCAAAGCCAAATCCAATGGACAATATTCGGTGCAAACATTTTTGACCACTTAAGTGCTTACTTCAAATTTAAGAGATCATAGTGACGAGCTCGTTTAAGTCATATGTTTTGTTTGTGCTCCTTCCTTGGTTTTACGATATGGACTCAGGTCTTTAATGGATTTCTATGGAAGCAGTCTAGCAACTTGGCCAGCTCCACTAGTCTCCGTAGTTATTTACCAGTTTGTATATCTTGAGTGAATTAATTTGGTTCAGGGCAGTATCGTCTTCTGAACCAAGAGTTATCAAACTACCGGGTGAGATATTGAATGGATACCATATGGATGTTTTAAAGTGAAGGAACTGTGGCTTAGAAAAGACCATTGCTATAGGACGTAAATAAAGTCACTATACAAACAGTATAAACAAACCGAAATGTAAGAATGACAAATGAACAGTGAGAAGTGGAAAAAAGTGATAGAGGCAGGGTAATAATAATGACAGATGAACAGCGAGACGCGCATCAACCGCAGCTATTTTGAACTAGAGGTAGGTCATGATTATGTTCGGTGTTATTAAGCCCATTATCAAAAACCTATAGTGAGGTGACAGACTACATCTGGTTGGATGTCATTTCAGATAGTGGCAGCTGTCGGTGAGAAAAAAAATGTGATATCTCCCTGTTTTTTATTCTCCTGTAACTAAGTGAAAAAAACCGAGACTTATTGGGTCTACTGTTACATGATTTGTTCTTTAATGCTATTTCCAACTATTTTTAACGATAAATCTGTATTACTTAAAAACAAATTACACTGTCAAATTAGCGCAATGCAATAAGCTGCCTAAATATGTTTAAGGTATTCAGGGCTTGACAACGCTGCCATTTGTAATACCTTTTTGACAGACGATCACAAACTCAGTCAAACCAGGAGTCAAGAATGGGAGTGTTCGAAGGTATATTTAAAAGGCAATCGATATGAGCTAAGCTGACTAGTTGTTGTGTGGAATACATAGTAGGGCTTGCTCAATAGTGATCTGGTGCGGATTCTTGGCTGAGCGCCTAAAACTATGGTGTGTTCAATAAAACTAACGAGACCAGCATCAAAGTTGAAGAATTACAAAATTATTTATTATGGTGAATTATTAACAACTTTATGCTATTTCTTAAATCGCGATTTTTGATCTTTCTGTAATAAGTAAGTGAAGTCATGATTTTTCTTTTGACAAAGTTATTCGAAAAGACAAAATATATACTGAATACCGTTTATCCGTCTTCGCTTCAAATTAGTAGTAACTTATATATCAACTTTATTCTTGTTTCTCCACAAATCTTGTTTAGCCCTGCAATGATAAAAGATATTGGTTGTGAATGGGTAATACTTGGACATTCTGAGCGTAGGAGCATTTTTGGTGAATCTGATGAAGTAGGTTTTTTTAACAGTACGACCATAAGGAAACAACTTCTATTTTATGATATATGAATGGACTTTCTAACAGTAATTTTGTGAACAGAAATACAACTACCTTCATTTTATTTCTGATAGTTAACACCATACGGTTTGATACATTATAACTGATTTATAAACATTAAGATAAATATTGGCTTACGCATTTGTTAGGTTATAAAACAAAGGTTCGCAACAACTAGTTCAAACTTGAAAGATATTTACTGTGAACGTTCCTAGAGAGTGTATCTAGTGTGTAATTGTATTTACTAAAAATAAAGCCATATTAAAATAAAATATCCGTGACACACTGATTGCAGTAAAATGTCCATTGTATATTTTATTGACCACTGAGATTGGCCAGATTTCTTCATTTGTAAATGTTTTAACAGATATGATATATAACTACCATTAAAAAGAAAACCATAACTTTGAGAAACTGCAGTGAGGGTTATAAAATTGATAGACATACTAGATTTCACGATCTCAATCCACTATCTGGACTACTAAAATATAGTAAAAATAAAAACTGCGATAGATTTGAACCAATTACCTGTGATTTTATTTTATGTACATTCGTTTGTCAGGATTATCATTCGGTAATCGATAATTTGGATTAGACAGTTTGTTTTGATTCTTTTCGTTATGATGCAGTCGGAAAAATTCAGTGTTTGTTGAGGATATTTATGAACACATATTCTACTTTTTTATGTCATATGGTTGTCCGAGTCTTCTACTGACATTCAAGCTTTCCATACTCGTGTACGACCAGATACTCGGTTGAGAAAGTTAGAGGTGAACTTGAGCATATTATTGTCTAAACGAGTCAAAACTACATCCAAAATCCCTCCGTATACGTACGTCTATAAACCCCAGAAGATTAATCTGCATTTTAAATAGAAAGCGCGTCTGTTTCCTCAGAGCTTACCATTTGTTATTTGGCCTGTCTAATTGGTTAGGTGTACTCTATTTATCTCCTTGAAAATGTCGTTTTCGAATTCAACCACGTGAATTTGAGGTGGGGATACATAAACGTTCAAGTTGTTCATCATTATTTGGCAGAAATCCATCAAAAGATGTCTTATGTACCTAATAAGCGCCTTAAAATGTTTCATAAATACTGTTTGTCTTATCTGGAGCATTTTGGGAACAAAATGCAAAATAATATCGTCAATGTTGTCGGGATAAAATCTAAATTGTGCCAAAGTAAACGCCAAGTTATGAGTTATCTTCAGCTAAAAACTGATCACAGAACAACAAATTATTTCTAAGCAAATTAAAATTTAGCTTTTGACGACTTACAATATCATAGATTAAGCAATATTTGTGCCTGCTGATATAATCCTCGACGTCCTGTCTTCTTTTGATTTACGCCTATGTAAAATAGTGTTTGATTGTGTAAGTTACTAGCTTCGGTTGGTAGTTTTCTTTGAACTATTACTCTGTAATGAGGTACCCAGAGAGTGAGTCATTCTGATATTAGTTGAAGAGTAATTGCTACAGGTAATGGATCAGATAACAGACTTATAAGCGGCCACCATTTAATGTTAGGTTGCTGTGTAGGTTTAGCCTGAGGTTTATTAGAAGAGCCTTGGAAACCGAATCGAGCGTTCATTGAAATAAAGTTAGCAGCCATTTCTCCAATCCATTACATTAGCAAATAATTTTCATGACTGTTGGTTTGATTTGTGGTAATTATATCCCATACATACTTTTACTCGATTCCACATTTCAAACACCGTTCTCTTAATTTTAGTCTACCACTTTATTGATATAACTAATTTTATTTGAATTTCCTCCTTTTAATTTTCTCATATTAGTATGATATAAAATATGAGTGCACTTATCACCTTTTTTCTGAGTAATTGAATCCGTTGATAGATATAAATTTACGGCAAACATACTGGGCAAAAACCTTAAGAAAAAACTGTTCTCAACATATTAGAATGCAAATCGTTCGTTAGTTTGCACCTCTCTTCCAATGGAAATTTCTCAACTGAAATATTACATGGTTTCATGTCGTTATTGAGTTAAGTCGGTTTAAAAATGATTTTTTAAATAGTAGAGCTATGCCCAAAACTCGCTTAATGTATTCAAAAGTATGTTAGCTTATCGATTCCTATTGCGTTACAAAAATAAGAAACATTTAATCAAATTGATCGATTGATTTGTAGTTGTTGACTTTGAGCTAGCTGTTTATTTCATTGGATAAAACAATTAATTTACATCAAAACATCTGACAAGTGTTTTCTTCGTTTCCACTTTAAATTTTTACTAATGTGAATGCTTAGAAGGAAGCTTTCTACATGAATTGATGTAAAATTCACATGCATTAAATAGGAATTTGAAATATGTACAATGCAGATATTCAGTGTTCCCTAGTTGACCGTAATTATCTAAGTGATATCAATTTGTAACGGAAACTGTTTTAAAGTTTAAACGACTCATTACAAACAACACAGTTTATTATTTAAAACTCTGCTCCATTTAAAACTTCACAAACTACCGTAGTAATTTCAACATTGTTCAGGATCAATTTTTATAATAGTCTATTGCAATATTTTATACCTTATTGTGATAGACATTAAAGATAATCTCACTTAAGCAGTTCGTAATAGAAAATAATTTGAAAAATATTTTTTAAGCCCAACAATAATCGAGGTGATATATTTGTGATATTTCAAGATTGAGTTTTGTGTTGACTTGTAAGACGTTATTTACTTTTTAAAAAAGCGACTTGTACTTAGTTATCAAATGTCAGAAGTTCAACTTTTTTCTACTCAACTGTTATATCCGAGCGAAGATTAAATCACGAGTAACTTCTGAGACATATTAATTGACTAATATTGTCTATACATTCTTATGGTGTAACTATTCAATAATTAGATTATTTATATCTGTGTTCCTCTTATTATGAGCCTTATTTTGACCTATAATTTAGTATTGTACGACTTACGGTTCTTAAGTTATGTTCAGTTTATTGACTACTGCCTCCCATGTTCACAGTCACTTTTTGGCTTTATTGTGTACAAATGTTATTTCCTATTTTATGGTGCTTTGCGGTCTGTCTGATTGATATATAAACTCAGTATGTCTGAAATAAATTATTTGATTCGATTCGCATATTGGGAGCTGGTATTTGGTGTTCTGTACTCAAGTGGACGGGCTAGACGGACAAAGGACCACTAAGGATGCTAGGCCGCTCATACCGGTCGAACGTCATTGATTTGGCACAGTGCTAAGATTGTATGAGTCGTATTTTGATTGATGGATAAATCACGTGATCAAAGCTGGACATAAAGTCATAACATCATCAATATATATATATATATATATATATATATATATATATATATATATATATATATAGTTTTTGGTTTAAACAATCTACTGATTATTCGATGTATTTAATATCAATTTTCAATGTATTATCTTTTAGTAAAATATTTACCAGAATATTTTTTTCGTTTTTTATTAAAATTATTTCTCATATTTTTTATAACAAAGCTTATTGCTGAAAAAGTTCAACATGCACTTGCTGAAGGTTTAAGCGTTATTGCATGTATTGGTGAAACATTATCAGAGCGTGAATCTAATAAAACGGAAGAAGTGTGTGTTAGACAGTTAAAAGCTATCGCAAGTAAGCTTATCTTAAAAATTATTTCACACTGTTGTATTTCATATCTGTTCTTCAAATCATATTCTAAATTCTTAGTATGTTTTACTAGTATTCATGCAAATATTATGTTGAATAAATTTCTATTTGTCTTGTTGATTTTAATTCTCTCTCTTGAAATGATTGCACTTAACTGAACTGACGGTCATTTGTCTCACATCCAGAATTGATGATAACTACGTAAAGTTTTATATAGTTCGTTATGTTATCATTGATTTCACAGTAGTATTATTAATAATCACCTGACATCTAGAAGTATATTACATCACAAAATAATCACTACTTTTATATGTACTTCAAAGTGTGAAAATCCTTAATGATCATTTCTTCACACTTTCTCTTGTTTCATTTAATTTCTAAAAAAAAGTATTTAATCTTGAACTAAACATATCATTGTTTTAACTTCTATTCTGTCAAAATAAGAGATTGACTTGGTTACAATAATGAGGATTACTTTTTTGTTGTTGAGCAAATAAAGCATATTCATTTTTTCTGTTCTCCTCAGTGAAGAAGAATTTTTAATTTTAAGTTGGAAAGCTAAATAAATTGAGAAACGTTTTAGTTGTACTATTAAAATATTGATCAAAATATATCTAATTACCATTCTTTCTAATAAAAATGTTTATACAAGAAAAACTTGATGCGATTAAATCTTTCATTTACTCATATTCTTATCAATTTTTATTTAATATTACTGGGCAACAAGTAAGCGACTTACAAACTGATTTTCACCAATCAATGATATCATTTAATTATGTTGATTTCATTAATAAAAATTTGTGTATAACTAAATAATGTTATTACATGAAAAACTGTTCTACAAGTTCGTGGTCTTGTCATTGATCTTAAATTATTCGAAGGTTTATGTTAATAATTTAATCATATGAGCAACCATATTTTGTATCTGTGCTTAAAACTTATCAACCAATATTCTGTTTATTCAATTCACTGATCGAAAATTCACTCATCAACTTAAAAAAAATCATTCTCCCTAACAGTGAAGATAAGAATGCGATGTTTGGGAAAGTTTCTTCATATAAATTTGTACAGTAACTGGATCACCAGTCCAGATTAATCGGTATTCTTCCTGTTTTATTCGTTGATGGATTAATGATGTTGACGTGTTGTAGTATGTGAATCTTTCGGCCTGCCTAGTTCGCATAGATTCCATTTCATATAAGAAGGATATATCAGTTGTTTGTAATTAGAAATTAACTTTAGATATCTCAAATACATAGCATAAACATAACTAGTATTTTAAAAATCTAATCAAGACAACATTTATAAATTGTGCCTATCGAAATTATATACTCCTAGGATAACTAATGACGATCTGTTGGTATCATACAACTATTTTCTCTTATTACACAGTTAAACGTCATCAAAAGAAAAACCCCACCAAATTAAAATTCTTTTCTTTGTTGACTGCCTGATAAATTGACTGACTACATTTTATTCAAACTCATCACTGAAAATTTCTTTGTTGAGTCAAATATTTTGTTTTAATCCAACAATTCATATGAATTTAGGAAGTGCTATTTTAAATTGTAAAATTTTAAATAAATAGCAAATATTTAGTCAGGTACCAAACAATGTTTCAAGTCCAGTCCGCGTTTAGTTCGATACATGATAATAGCAATTACTAGACACATTTGTTCCCTATTTTATTATTCAAGTTTAGCTTACTATACAAAAGCATCAAATATCTTGTAATAACTTTAACTGAAATAATACCATTTCATTTTAGATAAGATTAAATCAGCTGATGAATGGAAACGAGTAGTTGTAGCATATGAACCAGTTTGGGCTATTGGAACAGGTAAAGTTGCTACACCACAGCAAGCTCAAGAGGTTCATAATTTCCTTCGTAAATGGTTTAAGACAAATGCACCAAGTGGGGTTGATGAAAAAATACGTATTATCTATGGCGGTTAGTGAATCTTATTTTGATTTTCTTTTTAATAAACTTTTAGTCAGTTGTTCTATTTTTATTATATTTATTCAGTATAAAATGCTGTAATTAGATGAGTTGACATTACAATATCTGATAAAAGTATCATATAGTGAAGACCTTGAATGAATAATAAGCCAATCAGGAAACTATTAACGATACGAAGTAATGAAATAATAGTGAAATAACAGCTTTGATCGTGATAATTAACCATAACAAGACAAATCATCCCTTGGAAAAAAGAAAGAAGGGTATATGAATACATATAGTAAATCGTTTTAGTGTTGTGAGTTGTGGTTATCACTCTACAGAGTTTTTATCCGAAACTTATATCAGTTATAATACAGAAGATTTGGGTTCGGTACCAACAGTCAAGCTCGAGTTTTGAATTAAGTTTACAAATAAGGGTCAAGCTTTTTAACACGAACTGACATTAGCATTGATGAAATGCTTTGCCACCTTTTTTTCTAGAGGCTGAAGAAACTTAGGGCTAAGATTTCGAGTGGGGGTAAGAAAACGAGAACATCATCTAAATACTCTTGATTACCCAACGAAGAACGTCAAGTGCCTTAACATTGTCTGCTTCTCGAGCGAGCATGTTATGTAGTTTAGCTTAAGGGTCATTTAAAATCTACTTTATTGTTTCATGATAAATATCTTCATTGATTTTAAACATTTTAAGGACCAAATATAATCAATTTTCACTTGGTTAGCAATAACAGACACATTATATATCACTGCACTTTAAACTTCGCTCAAAATTTACGTGGAGCGTTATCTTAATTCTGATTGGTTAACTCAAGGGCATCAGTTTATTATGTTTTTACCTAAGTTTTCTTCACGTTTTAAAATATTTTTTTAATTCAATAATTGTAGAAATAACCTTACGTTAGAGACTATTAAGTTTCTTTTCAAACTCCCTAAGTAACTGAAATATATGCTAGATACTTTGAGTCAGTTATCACATTTCGTAAATGTTGTTTCATTCTAGAATTTGAATCATTTATTAAATTTTTAATCAACCAATAAATTTCTAATCATTTTGTCATTTCTTACTGATAGTTTTCAAAATTTCAATTTTCTATTATTGATATTGATAAATTCTTACTTCTATATTTAAACAGACTATAGAAGTGAAGTTTCAATTCAAACTGTGTTTTTTTCTTTTTTGGTTAGATAATCAAAACTTAAATATTGTGAATAATTCCCATTAACAAGCCTAAAAGTTATGACTAACAGTTGCTAACTGATAATTTCTAGATAAATACAAATACAAAGCATAAGTTTCATAGTAGGAAATTTTCTTTGAAAAAAAAAAGAAAAGAAAAGAGAGAATATTGATGACAATTTTCAAAGTTTATTACTTTTATCTACCATTATGATATTTATCAATAATTATGTCATATTTCTTTTGAATGATGTAACATGATGTAACATTAATAAGAGAAACAAATGAAATTTACTTTCTATTAATTAAAGGATTTTTAATGATAATTTAATTAAATTAAATTAAATATAAAATAAATTAAAACAATTTTTTACATTATTACCTTAGTCTCTGTATTTTAAAACTCCGCCTGTAGCTCTTCTAGAGTTACTGCCGCTCCTAAGCCCGGGTAAATAAGAAGGGTTGGGCATGGGGTTAGCGTCCCCATCCCGTAGAAAACTAACTCGCTAAAAAAACGCTTACCAGAAAACGCTCTATATTTTAAAATGCAATTCAAAGCCTTTAGAAGAAGTTTAGTAAAAATAATAATAATAATAATGATAATAATAATATGTCACTGCAAAGTATACATCTGAACAAGAAAAAGAAAATTTTGTAGTATTATATAAGGAAAGAATATAATCTATAGTGTATATTAAATATATTTCATTTGATTTATTGGTGATTATAATCACTATTGTGTATACAGCGTTTATTTCAGGACAATTTTAATCCTTAATTTTTAATTAATTAATTGTTTATTTTAACACATAGATATTGATACAAGGAGGGACCAAATAGATATGCGCCACATAGATCTCATTTGATTTGTGTGAGGGCTGTGATACTGTCCGGGTGCCCAAATCGAAGCAGGTGGTTTTCTTAGGGGGCCACACCTCGAGCCTTCGACCTGAAGGTCCACAAGGCAGTGGAGCATCGTAAGGAGATGCAGTCCCATGGAAGCCGGTGACCAACGATTGGTTCATACGCCATTCGTTCCCTCAGGATACTGGAGCCCATGTTCACCATTAGTTTTGAATCAGGGTTTTCCAACTCCCCTAGATGGACTGTTCGTGTCCACCAACCCGGTTAAAGCATCAGACATTCGCTTTTCGTCCTCTCAATTTCGTGGACAACTCCCCTACCACGAGAAGGCAATGAGTAGGACTTTCCTGGCAGAGGCTATATACACGTGGTCATGTGAAAGCATTTGGAGAGGTAGAGCGAACTTTCCTCACTCTCGGCCGCACCAGGGCATTTGCGGGCTTGTTTTAAATTATTATTGTGTTGATATTTAAGAGTGAAATTTCATTATTCTTTCTTTGGTATTTGTGCATTTTTTTGTGAATTGTTCCAATATAACTATTTCATAGAATAGATATTTTGTGGTTAGCACTAGAATCTATTATCCTATATGAAATTTATCAATTAGATGTATTTGCATCTTATTGTTAATATTTACATTGAGACTCAAATTCATTATCTTTTGATTTATACATTTGTACATTATCCACCAAGCTAATGAATCTAGACAACCAATTACATTTTTTACGGGATATGATGACTCTATAACTGGAAAAAAGTGCCTGAACTATTTCATTGTTGACATTCATCATTGGATTTGAATTCTTCTTGCTGGAATATATACCTATTGTGTTGTATACTGACACTATATGGACATCGTTTACAATAGATGGATTGTCACTAGTAGTAAAATTGACGATACATTTTATATTATTTTAGACTAATCAGCTGGATGTAACTTAAATACTTCACTCCTAATGATAGACAGATCTTCTCATAGAACAAATCAGTGGCTCTCTGAACTCAGTAGCTCAGTGAATATTGCATTATCTTTTAACGTGAATGGCACTGGGTTTGATTCCCAACATGGATATTAAAACCAAAAAGCAGGTGAATGCAACTAGAGAGTATAATAGATGTGTCTTGAAATCCCTCGCTGTCTATAGTCCAACTATTCAGTTATTAATCCTTAGAAATGCAGTATTAATTTTGAATGTTAACGTCAATGTCTATGCTCTGTATTAAAAAACGTATTTTTTTCTTTTTCCTTTTATTTACTACACGCAAAGGATCTGTAACTGCTGCCAATTGTAAAGAATTAGCTCAACAACATGATGTCGATGGATTTTTGGTTGGTGGGGCTTCATTAAAACCGGAATTCACGGATATATGTAAAGCCAAACAATGTTGAACGTTTTGTCAGTCTTCTTCTTCTTACTCTTCTTAATTTTGTCTCTTCTCGTGTCAGTTACTTCCCTTTTTGTATTAACAACCAAAGCACATTATAATTAGTAGTATTTTAATGTCTAATGTAAAGAAATATGACTACCAGTTCGAATTACTTAATTAATATCAGTCAAGAAAATAATACTTGTCGATTTAGTTCATTATTTCATTTATCGTCCCTTATATTTAAATTTCGTATGTCCTAAATATACCTTGAATTAATAATTTAATAAGTTTTGTAAAATTTCGCTGGGCCTTACTTAATATAGAATGTACAAAACTTATTGTCCGTATTGTCAATTAACTAAAACAGTTTGACGATATTTTGTACGTTGAAATTGGTAGCTTGATATTGTTAGTCCGAGGCATATTAAAGACAATAAGTTTCAGCAAATGTTGCTGTAAGAATATCTAGAAAGATGGAAGAGATATCGATCATGTTTGTAATCAACCAACTTCGGTTGATTATTAGTTCACATTAAAGTCTATTCATAGATAGTTTTGAACCTTTGAGATGAAGTCAACAATTAGAATTTATAAATGGAACCAATTTTCTAGCACTTGGTTAATTAAATCACAAGTTCCAATGGTTGTTCACAGTTAATCCTGCTTTAAGGAAAGTGAGACCTCTTCAATTTACTAATAGCTGATTCGTAAAACTCAGTAGTCAATCACTCTTCAGTTTTATATAAGTTGTTTAGTGTTCCATGATTGGTAAATATAATACTGCTTAGTTTTCATTTTTGATAACTATATCAAGAAGTTTACTCTTAGAAGTCGACAAGAAAAATAACTGATTAATAGTTGAATAACCCATCTAGGATTGATTTTGTTAATACGCCTCAATACTTAAATGAAAACGATAGGTGTGGATACCACATAAATTTAGTGAAATGCCTACTCATAGGTCGGGTGTCTCAAGTATTCAAGTAATTTTAATTTAGAAAAGTTAACTGACTTTTGAAAAAGATGGACTGCCTATCAGCTACAGTTTCGAGTAATAATAAACGAATTCAGTCGGAATTATGGAAAGATATAGGCATATTCTAATGCCTCAAGTATCAATAATAGTGGGAAATTTATTAGCAAATAAATCACTATTTAGACTAATGAGGCTAGAGTACTGCTTTTTTAACTGGAAAACATTCAAATGTTCAATTATCTGAAGATATAAAGTAAAGTGATGATCAACGACATCAAAATGTCCTGCCATTACTAACATCAAACCTAAAGAGCAAAAAGGTAACTGAAAATAGTTAAGAGATTTTGTGGCTTTACATTACGGATTGATTTTAGACTATCATTGTAAACAAAGAATCACTGATAATCTGTTTCTTCATAAAACAAGACTCTAGAGAGATGCCAGTACATTACTCTAACAGAAAGCGAATTCAAAACACTAAATCATCGTGACGAACGACTACCACTTGAGCCTTTAAGTCTGTATCTTACGTTTTACATTTCTAAATTCAGTCGACTTGTGACACTGTACAACCATCTTCCAATTTCATTGGTGAGTAACTGCTTTACTAGCATGATTGAACTCTCCTGGTCAGGAATTCGAACTAGAAATCAAAGAATTACCGCTGTAAGTTAGTCACTAGTAAGCAAATAACGATGTTTTTGAGTCTAGATAGTCTTTATGGCACGCACACATTGTTTTATTAAGATCTTAAACGTAGAATTTTTCTCTATACTACTGGTAAATTTTCGTAGTTACCCATTAAGCGTTGCCAATAACAACTTAAAAGCTCGTTATTCTAAGCTCAATAGAGGCTTTACAAGTAGCATTGATTGATATTTACTCGTGGTTTTCATATGAAGATCATTAGCATAGTAAAAATGATGATTTTAGCTTTTCTTGGGGGGATTTCCTTTCAATATCTCTTTCTTGTACTTGTTAACTTTGTTAAAAACTATGATAGTGAATAATTTAAAAAATATTCTTTGTTTACAATTCCGCCACTTTTAATATCAAGGAAATGTTCATTTTATCAATAGAAGATTCGATATTTTTGTTAAGTGTATGTAGATGGAATGTATATAAATGTGCAACTGTTTTATCTGATGAAACCAGTTATTTTAAATACTTCAACATCACATCTTAGGAGTCCCGCACTAGGACGAAACGGCCGTTCATTATTTCAGAGTTTTCACCGATGATCTTAGGTTGGTCCATAATATCAATAAAATTATCTCCATAATCGTTGAAAACTGTCAAATTTTATAAAGTTCACTTCTCTTTGGTCAGGAATCTTGTTCTGTAATTTACTGTTATCAGATTCAGTTCTCATGATGAGCTCGTTAATTTTCGATCTTTTATTCAATGATTATCAAGTAATTGTGAAAAAATTTACATAAACAATCATATCACGTATAGTGTTAATACACAAGAAAGCACTAAATAGTAGCTATAGTATCCAAAGTAACATTTTGCTCAGAAATAGATGAAATCTGTAGGGCTAGAATGTATTGAAATCAGAAGAAACTTGATGAGCGATTATTTCTTTTTGAAGACTAGTTTACATATGACCATACATTAAATACAAACGACTTTAGGTGGTCTATCAATTATCCTTTCGACTACAGATGATAGTGAGCTATCGAATAGTGTCATTTACTCATTTCTACACTATAGCTCCCTTTTTTATTATTCAATATTTCATAGTTTTCGATGTTTTTCTAATTAAAATGAATCCATGATGTAAGTTATGGATTCTGAAGTAATGGTTGAAGTTAGATATTAACACCGTTGGATGCCGGCTCAATGGTCCAATGGTTAAGCGCTCGCGCGCGAGACTGATAGGTCCTGGGTTCGAATCTCGCGGGGGGAGGGATCGTGGATGTGCACTGCTGAGGAGTCCCGTATTAGGACGAAATATCCATATAGTGCTTCCAGGTTTTCCATGGTGGTCTAGCTTCAATTGACTCATGATTTCAACTATTGAAATTTTTAAAATCTCCACAAAACCCCTTCTGGTAAATTATACTAGAACGAAACGGCCGTCCAGTGCTTCCAGGTTTCCAACGGTGGTCTAACATCAATTGATTCATGATCTCAATCAAAAAATTAACAATCTCTACAACCCCTATACTGATAATAACAAACTATTGGACAGAGTAAATTACTTTAAGATTTCCATTCATTCATGAGATACATGTTAAACCAAACAAATCACATGAACTAAATTATACCAAAGACCACTTCATAATGATGCATAACAAAACACCAATTACAATACAAAATTACAAAAAGTAAATGATATTTCCATGGATTTAGTTAAGTAGGAGATTTGATTCTCAAAGTATTGATCACTTATTCTCATATGAATTACAGATATGGAAATGAAAATTTGTATAAAGTGAACTACATTTGTTTTAACAACAGAAGAAATAAACGTTTTTATTCAAGGTTAGTTTTGTTTTATTACTTGTACAATAATATAAGATCAGAAAGAACTCTCAGAAAACCTATTACATCATAAGCTATTAAAAGATTATTGCAACCGTTAATTAATTAATTTACTTTAAGTAGTTAAGTATAATGATTTCAATGAACGAATATAAAATAATCATTAGTGTATAAATAAGCTTAGATTTATCGAAAATCAATGAGAACGTTATTCATTATTCATTAGAATGATCAATTTTTATAATAATCAATATAAAATAAACTGTCTTTTTTTTTAAAGATTGGACCAGGGCATGTATAAAAGAGTTAACCTTAATAGGCATGAAAAAAACAAACTCATTTGCTAGTTAATCAATATTTCTGATCGATATTATTCAGCTCTTTGGGCTTATCGTATAAGTACCTCCAAATGCCCTGGTACGGCCGAGAGTGAAGAGAGTCAGCTCACCCTATCGAAATGCTCTCACATGACCACGCGTATATAGTCTCTGCCAGGGAAGTCCTACTTACTGCCTTCTCGTGATAAGGGTGTTGTCCACGAAATTGAGAGGACGAAAAGCGAATGTCCGGCGCTTTAACCGGGTTGGTGGACATGGAGAGTCCACCTGGGGGAATCGGAAAACCCTGACTCCAAGCCAATGATGCAAATTGGCTTCAGGATCCTGAGGGAACAAATGGCGTATGAACCAATTGTTGGTCACCGGCTACCATGGAACTCCATCTCCTTTCGATGCTCTACTGCCTTGTGGATCAGACCATCAGGTCGATGGCTCCGGGTGTGGCCCCCTAAGAAAACCACCTGCTTTGGTTTGGGCACCCGGACAGTATCACAGCCCTCACACAAATCAAATGAGATCTATGTGGCGCATATGTATTAGGTGCCTCCTTGTACCAATATTTATATGTTCAAATAAATGAGAAAAATAAATAAATATCATATAAGTAATTGTTAATATTTTTAATAGACTAACATTCCAATCTTTGCCATCTTTAGCACTTATTCGAAAATATCACAGAATCCGTATGTTATGTTAACCTATTAAAACAAATTATTCGATGTGTACATTAAATAAAACTTGAGGTAAAACTTTCAGCATTACTTTTATGTTTTTGCTCGTCCAGGTAACATAAAACTATGTAGTTTTATTTGAACAGTTAGTCAACATAATTTCTTAAGTTCATTAGCCATTTTGAGGAATAGACTGTCAACCAGGGATCTCTAGATAGTTCTATCCTGGGTTCTACGTTTCAGTTGTTAGTATGTCCTATCCTTAGTCTTGATTTTTGCTTCCAAATCCGTAAGCCAAGTTTCGGCCTGTACAAAAGGACGGTTTTAACGTCAATGTTGAAAATTCCGGTTTTGGTCCTGGGTGGTAGTTCTTTTAGGCTCCAAATATTCTTCAGTTTTAGGAATATTGCCATTGATTTGTCGAATCATCTGTCTGTATCCAATCTGTCCACCGAATTCTTCGCTTTTCCTGAGATGTGAAGGTCTCTCGGAAAATGACCAGAAGAAATATAAACGGCAAGAATACGCGTTCTTGTCTGATATCAATCCCCCGGTGGAACGAATCTATGTTCAACAACACTATGTTGAAAACGTTGTTTGATGCCGATGGTAGTGTGACCCCTTTGTCACGCACTAAAATCTCTTTTCTTTTGTATCTTGATAAGACGTCTTTTGTTTCAGACCGTTAGTACTTTTTCTTCCTCCCAAATCTTTCTAAAGGAAATGTGGAGCGTCTTAGCATCTACCCTTAAATTTTACCAATGCCTCAGCCAGTATACCGTCTAGCTCAGCCGCTTGCCACTCATTATTCTGTCATTGGTGAGGTATCGTCTGTACGGGAGTTTGTGCGAGTCGTTTCGACA